TTATATACATAACAACAATCAAAATCTGTAGCCCGAGGCAAGGATCTGTGTTTGGACTCAGGATTAACAATAGTTTCCTTATTTTAACTCATTTTTATCCATTTTGGTCAATTTTATGGACCGCACTCACACTACCATTTATTTCTGAAAGGTAGCGGTATGTTTAGTGGCAAACGCATGAGCTTGGGAATCCTACAGATCTATTTTTTAATCCCAATTCTTCACTTGCTAGTCCTGTGACGTTGAAATAACTTCAGCCCTGTGAGCCCGTTTTCCCTTCTACAAAATTAAAATTATAATGACTACCTTATATAATTCTTTTGAGGATGAAATCAAATGATATTTGTAAATACCCAAGCCTAATTGCTGAAATATAGCAGGAACCCAAAAAATCGAATTTATGAATGGGAAAATTGAGGCAACGGGGAAGTTTTATGTGTTTCTGTGTTGCCTAAGCTCCTGCAACAGGAGCATCTCTTTCTCAGATCTGCTTGGACCTCAGATCTGCCTGGCAATCTTGTGAAAAAGAAAGGCAGTAAAGGATGAAACAGGATTATTCAGAAAAGAAGCCATGCAAATAGAAACAATAGACACATAAATGGCATAAACAGTTCTCAATATCTAAAAAGACATTGAGCACTTTGGTTTTTCTTCCTTTAGTTCCCTGAATTGAGCACAATGAGCAGCATTTTTACACTATTAGGCATTCAGAAAGTTATGTCAAAACACAATACAATTTTCAATTAATGAAAATACTCAAAGAAGAGCAAAATTTCAGTTACCTGAGCTAGAACTCTGACACCTGTTTTCAATTTGAAAAAGGTTTTAAAAGTTTTAACCATAGTCTATAAAATATATATGTTCTTGGAAACCTTTTTGGTGATGTCTAAGGATTGAATGATACCTGTGTAATCATTGATTATCAATGATTCATTCAAAATACATATATTTTTGAATGCCTACTTTAATAGAAATTGGTAGACTGTAAGAATATAAAGACAAAAGATATATGATACTCAGTATCATTTGCATATGTTTCTTTTTAATGCTGATCTTTCATACGTGCTTCGAATACTAACTTTCATCAGAGATTTCCTTGGATAATGCTCCTTCAAACATACTTTGCAACTTGCCAGTCGATATTATTGGTTAATACAATAATGATATAAATTTACATTATTTAAACCTGCAATAGTCTTTACCACTGTATATGTGTATTCAGTTTTCAGATTGTATATCTTTACTTTAGTGATAGGTATATTATTGCATTCCTCTCCCTTTGGTGTAAAGAGTCTCTTCTTGAGAACTGAGCTAAAAACTGGATCTCCAATTGGGGAGAAACATGAACATGATAACCCTTCAGTGATGCAATGTTAAGTGTTTTCCTTATCCACACTGCAGTAGCCATTCAGGAGGTTTGTGGTAGAGATAACTAATGCTCAGCTTTTCTTTCCTTCCTGGGCACAAGGTAACATGTCTGGGGGCCTTAAAATCAGGTACAGCCATGTCACTAATTCTGGACAGTAGTCTTTGAGTGAAGGTGACATGGGTTATTCGCACTGCATCATTTGAGAATGGGTGTGAGCTCTGCAATTTCTCTCTTTTGTAACATTGGAAGCAATTTTTTCCAGGTAGTATAGCCACATAACAGAAGGAGTCCAGATTCTTGCTTGGTAGGGAAAAACCTGAGAGAGCTGCCTGACCTAAAGGAGATTTTGCAAGTGAGAAATACACTTTTATGTGTAAGACCACTAAGGTTCTTTGGATTTTTGGTTACCAAAATATAGACAATCCCATTCTAATCCAGGAGTGTTCCTAATTGTCTATTTCATGTAATGTATCTCGTGGCTACACTAAATCTTTTATTCCTGGGAAAGAGGTGTTCCATATTAGTGAGTTTTTCAAACATCTAAATGGAGCCAGTGTGTTGAACAAGCACTACTTTTGGTCATCTACCCCCTATGCCTGAATGAAAATTGGATGTGTCTCATAAATTTTCTGATCAATCTTAGAAAACACAGAGTCTTACAGCTAGTTTAAGTTTCAAGCAGTCTCAATTCAGTATTTGGATTGCCTTGTGTAAGATTTTAATCAAAACTCTGAACTCACATTTTGTTCTCTCTTCCAGCTGGGTTGGCTTCAGGTTAGAGGTCACAGAAAGAAGGGGACATCTGGGTTTCTCCTTCTCCTGTCTCTGCTTAACTGATCTTCACATGCTACCTGTGGGTTGCATATTGCAAAGTATGGAGAGATGAAATAAAGGACATGACAGTTTTTACTTGGGTGTGTAGCTTTATGTCCTATGGCCCTGAAATATGGTTAAATTGGCACTTCTGGATGGGCCTGACAGATAATAAAGGCTGAATTTCTAGTGAAGTATTTTGTGGGTTCTATGAAGGTGGTGTATGCTGATTATACTCTGTTTCATTTCTTTTGACCTAGGAAAATGCATCCCTATTGTACAGGGGTCAACAAACTTTTGAGATGGAAGAGCCATCAGCAAACTGTGGCTCGCGAACTGTGGCTCTGAAGTAAAATTTAAAATGAAAATAAAACTATCATAGTTTCATTTATGAAAATTTTTTTTTAAGATTTTATTGGGGAATTGGGGGAGGGGAACAGGCAAGTTGCTGTCCTTTTGTTCTTCAGTCTAGTTGTGGAAGACATTGCTTCACTTGTCCATCTTGGTATTATCATTGCGCTCTTCCCGGGTGAGGCAGTCACTCGCTGGCCATTGGACGGCAGGACGACAGTGGCTCATGGCAACTCACGGAAGCACATGCCAGCTGCTGGCCAGCCCTACTGCAGCCTATGCCATCGCCAGTGACTCACGGCAGCCTAACTCCAGGTCGAACTGTTATTCATCATTTTAGCTGTAGAGGGGGCAGCATCACTGGCCCTAATGTGGAATTTGAACTGGGGCCCTGCTGCTAAGACCTGGCATCCCAAGCCAACTCTTAACCAACGTGCCTCTCGGCCGGCCCTATAAAATTTTTAAAGGATATTATTCACATAATGGTGATTATGTAAAAATATATTTATGACTCTCAAATAATTTTTAAATTGTTGTGAGGGACAGGATTGGCTCTTCCAGAGGTCGGCAAACTTTTGAGATGAAATGTACCCAAAGAGCTGCATGTGGCTCACGAGCCGCAGCTTGCCAATCCCTGCTATTATAGATGGTAAGATCTGTGATTACATTCTCAGCTCCCAGGTATCTTCTTGCTTCTCCAGATTGCTCTATTAAATAGGACCCAAGAAGCATCCACACAGATACTTTCCTCTGTGGCCTACAGGGACCAAAAATGTCTCCTTTCCACATCATTGAGAGTCACCTTAAGTCTAGCTGAACTGAAGCCCTACAACTGTGGAAATACAGAAGAAGCCACCTTATGATTAGTAGGAGGGGCAGAGATGCAGAATGGACTGGTCCCACACCTGTGTGTGACCATTAAAAATTAGGTGAGATATTTCGGCTGCAGAGGTCCCTCCCTGAGGAGCCAGGGGTCCCAGGCCCTCCCCAGCCCAGGGTTTCAGTGCCAGGGAGAGAAGTGTCCATAGCTTCTGGCTGGGAAAACCAGCAGAGGTTGTGGCTAGGTGAGACAGAGGGCAACTGCACCCACAGGCACTCCTCTAAAAGGGCTCTGTGCATACACTTCTTGCTGATGGACTCACTCCATCTGAGCTTCAGTGCTGGGGCAGTGCTTCAAAGGTGCCAGGGACATACGGGGAGGAACTGAGTTGTCTGGCTTCAGGGTGAGGGATTGAGGGCCAGCTTTCTCCTGGAGGGAGAAGCTGGCGGAATCTGTTGTTTCTTTGTTTAGCCCTCCCCCTTCCTGTGTGTAGACCCAGGCAGATGCCATACCTGAGTCTCCAACAAACCGGCTATCACCTTTTATCTGTTCCATCCTTGTGATTCCCTGAGACCATTCCCACCCAACTTTCAGGCACACCCACACCACTTCCAGTGGCTTTTCTGTATAAACAGCCTGCCTTGGCTAATTCTGCAGACTTTCCTAAAATCGCTCAAAGGTTCACAAAAGCCAAACAAGCAGCATCTGGCCTCAACATGTCTCGTACCTCTGGCTGAGCAGCCCTAAGCCCAGCACTAGCAACAGTCAACCTTCGTTCACAGTTTGGCCTCTCAAGGCACCTCCAAGCACAGCACAGGTGGCAGCCATCTCTGGATAGCTTTGTGGCTCATGCCAGGTGGACCTGGGCAGGGCACAGACTGCAGCTGTACTTGGCCTGTGTTTGGGAGCATATAGGGGAAGGGTGATTCTGTCTTAAGCTCATTTCAGTATCCTAACAATTACAGTATGAGTGCCTTAATTGATACCAAGATAAGGCAAACAAGTTCCATTGTAATGTGAAACACATTTTTAAGGCAGTGAATTCTTTCTATATTTAATGATTTTTCAGTGACATATATTTTAAAAGTGTTACATACTTTGCCTATAAGCTAAAAATAATTTATAGATAGATAAAGAATTTTATTATGCATATTAGTTACCATAGTATGCCTAAAAAATTCATGCCTTTGGGGATTATTGACATATGGGAATATGTTTATTTCTATATCAAATGCCCCCAAATGATTATAGTTTAATAGTAATGTCACATGAAAAATCTGACAAAAATTTGGGGTATTTAGATTGAATAAAATAAGACATATAAGAGATAAAATCATTCTTTAAACATTTGAAGGGTTATCTTGTGGAAGAGAGATTAGAATATTTTATGTTGTCCTGGGGGCAGAATCAGAACCAGTCTATGTGGAATTTTAACTCAACATGAGCATAAACCTCGTGATGAATAAAACTGCAGCATCAACTTGTTAGTTATTTACCAAACTTGTTTCTCCTCACCCTGGACACACAGTTAGATAACATTTCCCAGATTCCCTTGCAGTTAGGTGAGTCCATGTGATCAAGTTCAGACCAATGAGATGTGATGTTTGCTGCTTCCAGGTCTGGTCCATAAATACCTTTCTTCCACAGCCCTCCATGCTCTTTCGCCTTTCACTGGCTTGATGCTGATGATTCTGAAAGCCTTGGAGGCTACATGTCAAAGATGGAAGAAGCCTGTCTCCTAAATCAGTACTTGGAGGGGAGCCTGCCACTGATCAAGTAACCTATTTTGAACTTTCCTTGACTAAATTTATTTGACTAGATTATCTGTTTCAGCTACTAGCACTGCCCCAACTAAATAAGAACTGTCTGGAAACAGAAAGGGCCTCATTGGGACATACAGTTGATTCTTGAACAACACTGTTTTGAACTGAGTATGTCCACTTACACGCAGATTTTTATGAGTAAATACAGTGGGCCCTTTGGATCTGGCCCTTCATATCCTTGGGCTTTGCATCCTGAGTTTTGCAACAGCTGATTCAACCAACTGAAGATCAAAAACAGTATTTTTGCATTCCCAAACACAGTTTCCCAGCTGTGGAGTTCTAACAGCAGATGAAAACGTTTTCCATCTGCAATTGGTTGAATCTGTGAATGCTAAGGGCTGACTACAGTTAAGTTTCTGCAGAGTCAAAAGTTATACATTGATTTTCAACTGGTGCTGGGAGGGGTGCTGGTGCAGTGTCCCTATTTCCCTTGTGTTCAAGGGCCAACTGTACTGAATCTTTGTCACAAAGGTATTCTTTTAGCAAGGATGCCTTAGAAGAAATTAAACATTTGCACAAGGGTTGAATTACACATTATCTGAGTTCCCCTCTCATCCAGAGATGATTATTTTATTCACTCAAAAATTTTTCTAACTTACTGTAACCTCATTCATTTTACAGTTGAGAGCATAGTTCCCTTTAATGGTCCTCTGATCTCTCTTCTAATTTGCTACTTCTAAAATGCAATAAATATTTTAGAAAACTAAATGTGTTACCTCTGGGCTTAAAATAGCAATCAGTATGAAAAAGGCAGGATATGAATTCTATAGAGAGAATGATTCTTATTTTGCAATATACTGGAGGTGCCAAAAAATATATACACATGACTTGTACACATATTCATTTTTGTTATCGGTATATATTGAGTATTACAATTTTAATACATTTTTTTCCTTTGTTAAAATGCATATACATTTTTTGGCATCCTCTGTATTTATATATACATTTGCACACAAAGAAAAAAAGATTAGAATTACATACACAAAATAGCAAAAGTGCTAATTTCTCTGTGCTGGGATTACTGTTGATGATATTTTTTTCTTTAAACTTCCCTGTATTCTGTTTTATTTACACTAAAAAAGAAAAAAGATATCCCTTTGATCATCTAAAAAAATCAAATAAATATGAAGGCTATTTTAAAAATTAAAATTAAATACACTTTAAGCTGGGACCTGTAAGGTTCATGTATGAAATAAGAATGTGGCTTTGGTTTGTGGATTTTGTTATATACATTATCTCCAGACAGCTAGATTCTATTGTCAACAGTTCAGTTGACTGACTACATAGCCTCCAGTTAAGTGATGCTGCTTTACTATATACACACTTCGATTTTATTTATATCCACTACCTAGTCTCCATTTCTCATTGCTCTAAACAAAGTAAAAGCAAGAGAGAAGGTGCATTTACTGTCGATGTTAGAACTATTTATCCGTCCTTTATGGCTCATTTCCTTAACTGTTTGTTTACATGCCACCTATTGTGACCTCATGTAAATCTTTGATTGGAACAATTACTTACAATTGCAGGCCTTAAATGAATGCCCTTTGTGATAGAGAAATTGATGGGAGTTAGAACTGAATAACTCTCGTTATAGCTGTCCTTTGTTTCATTACTCCCTGAGTCCCAATTTACCTTTCAAGTACACTTCAGTGTATTCATTTTCCCCTAAAATCTGCAGCTGTCATTTTAAGTAGCTGTAAGAAAAGCATATTTCTCTGGTCTATTTTATTTCTTTCTTTAAAATGACTCACAAAACTAGCAACGGAAGAAAAGTGCATTTTCTCAGAGGACTGAAAAATTGATTGGTGGGCTCCTTCTGCCTCTAACACACAGGGAAGAGCTACATATTAGTTCCTAGTTTGGAACTCTTAGCTACATATTCCTAGTTTGGAAATGCCAGCTTAGTTACTAGGAGAGCCTGGAGGCTGCCAAAACTGTACTCAGTGTTATAGCTCTACCACTGGTGATGGGCCACTGTCCTTTCCATGTTTATGTTTCCATAGACCGGGTTTTAAAGATTTGGGCCATGGGTACTAAAGGACCTTGGAGTGTCTATACTAAGTAGAGTTTTTAACAATGAAATGGATTCAAACAGTTACTAAAGTATTCTGAAATACAGAGAATGAGTGTCATGGGAACCTTGAACCCAGGGTGCCCATGACGTTCCTACAAATGGTTGACAGTACATCCAGACAGTCCAGGGGCCTTCCTAGATCTTGTGGACTGGACCAAATGACTAAATTATGCCCACATTGAACAGTAATATTTTCCAGACCAAAAACCAGCAACTAGGTCTGACAGTATAACATAGAGGATAAAGGTACTTAACATGGATGATTGATGATGACAATGATGATGATAGTTAATGCTTTGGAGGCACTGTTCTTCACATGCATTATTTATGTAATCCTCATAGTGATCCTGGATGGTATATATGGAAACCATCAGTTAATGGAATGAGTCGTGAGAAATAGAAAACATATTTTTTTTGCATCAAGAATAAACACTGCTTCTCCCTTGCATTCCCTTTTTACAGAGCAAGGAGACTTGGAGTCCAGCGAGGATTATCAGTATTCTTATATTACAGATGAGACAGCTGAAGCACGGAGACATCAAGTGTCCAAAGTTATATTGAATATTTAATATTGGCATTTAAATTAGGGGACATATTTAATATTGGAGACATGAAATGGATATAATACCAATAGTCATCACTTACATACATGATCTCTAATCCGCATGATGATTCTCACAGGTAGGTATCCTGTTCCTGTTTTCCAGGGACAGGCTCAGTTTTAGTGATATTCATGGCAACATAGCAAGAAATTCATGGAGCTACCGGAAATGTTCAGGTTTCTCTGACTAAAAAGCCCAGCTGTCTTACGAGATCACACAGCAGGCACATACTTCCTGGAGTTGGTCCCAGAACTTTCTTTGTACTTCCTCCCTCCTTTTTGTAATTAGCCCAAATGTTAGTCAGGGATACAATTCAAGAAAAAGAAAATTAGGAAAAGTAGCCTTGTCTTCTTCTTTTCTGGACTTGGATATAAGGGTTGGATTGAAATCCTCTAGCTTTTTAAGGTGAATAACTAATAATATAGCTAGTCAAATGTCACCATAAGCACCAGGTAGACAAGGAAAGATGAAAGGAATGGGAGAAATGAAATATAGCTTAAGACGATTGAAGGTAGACATGCAAGGTGAGAAAATAAAGTATTGAAAGGGTGGAAGTCTGGGAAGATTTTATAAGACAACTAATTAAAAAATGATGATGGAAAGAGAACTGACTCTGGGTGGTGAACACACAATGTGATACATAGATGATGTATGACAGAATTGTACATTTGAAGCCTATGTAACTTTACTAACCATTGTCACCCCATAAACTTTAAAAAAAATAAAATAAAATAAAATAGAAATGAGTTCATAAAAAAGAAAAAGAAAATTAGACTCTAAGAGCATTGTATAATATACAATTATATACATATATAATCAACTTCACAAAACATACAGTTTACTCCAAGGATCAGGGCCATTCTTTCATAAACACACACACACACACACATACACACACACACACACACACACATACACACACACACACACACACTCATATCCTTATCTAATGAACTAGATCTCTCAAAGAATGAGTCTTTTTGTGCATGGGTACTATCATTCAGGGGAGAGAAATGAACGACAATAACAAATTGATAGCAAGTATTAATTCAAAGCACTACCAATCATTTCAGACTTTCAATATTTCAGATTCAAAATTATAAATGCAGGGCAGTATTTTAGAATAATTTACAAGCATTTTCAGTGAAAAGGACTGAAAAATATTAGATCTTTTTTGTTTGTTTTCTAATTAATCCTTCTTATAAAAATGTTTGCAAATAAAAAAATAAAAAGAAAAATATTAACTTTTAGTAATCTTTCCCAGAGATAAATATTGCTAAATCTCTGATATAAATATATACATATGCTTATTTAGCAGGTAGAAGAAATGCTATTAAAAATAAAAAACTGACTGCAGCTGCTCCTGCCTTCTAGATTAATGGCAGAATTCTTATCTCTGGTAGATGATTATTCTGGTTTATTTGCAGAGAAGGAGGATAAGCAGTGGATAGGCATTTTTGGTGAGACAGGCATACTGATCAAAGAGGCCTACTTCAGTATTCGTCTCTTACTGTTACCCAACTCCATACACACATGCACACTCACAATGTGTTCCCACAGGCTCCCACAGGCACTGGTTTATTCCTAATACCAAAGAAAAAATGGCCTCAGCGTGCCTTCCAGAATGAAGTGCATCTGATACGTGAGTAATGTTGCCAAAAATGCAGGACCTACCTACCACGTGAGTACTCTGTGGTCCCTCCACCCTCTCTGGGGTATGGGCTTTGAGCTCTCAATAAATTATCTTTGCTTTCCAGAAACTTATTTTTAAAACCAAGACTGCAAAAGGAACTTTTGAGTCTCCAAGGTCAGGGACAGAGGCCTTGATCTCATCTAACATGTTAAAGGCCCAAATCTTTTATCTGGATACGTTCCTAGAAACAGTAGGAAACCAGGGTCCAGGATGACTACAGAACAGGTACAGTATAGGATCATCCACAGATGCACAACACTCTGCTTTGATTCCTGATTCTAGCACAGCACCCTCACTGAGTTATAGTCTTATTGTTCAGTCCAGTAAAGCTGTTTTAGAGGAGGGGTGTGATTTATCCATAATATTTGGAGATAATCACCTAGCAGGGACCAATAATCATTGGATGAAGAAACAAGTCAATAGGTTTCATTTCACATTTGAGGGAGCTGAGGCATAGCAAGGTTGATTAACTTATAAGGCAACACTGCTAATAAGTGAAACATCTAAGCTTTGAAACTATATGTCTCTGACCTCATGCTTTTAACCATTATACCTTACTGTCTTATCCCCTTCGGAATGCGATCAATGCATGATTCAATTTTATCCCTTTTCCACTTTTCACTCTTGCCCTGGATTTATATACAGTGTCTTGCACTGACCAGAAACTCAAAGAATGAATGTTGAATATCTTTTTAAAAATACAAACCAACAAACAAACAAAACCCACCCACCCTCTGTGAACTTAATCTTCTTTCTATTTATTCCAAGGAGGTCTTGCTCCCAAAGCTTTAAGGAAGTCCCAAGGGTTTGCTGGGCAGCCACATCTCTGAGACTTCCACCCCTGCCTCATCCAGAGCAGTTCTTTTTTCTGTTTTATATAGTATTTAATCCGTTTTGCATAAGATCTTGTCTGATAAAATGATTTCTACTATCAAAACAGCTTTGAAAAAATTCTTACATAGATGACTGTTCCAGCCACTAGTTGAACTAGTTCCCATATGTTTTTCTTTTCTTTTATCCAAACTCATAAGAAGCAGACACATATCTTTAGTACTTCTAAAGGTGAGCTGCTAAATCTTTAGGGACAGGCTCCCAGTATTAATACTGATGGCAGTAGAAAGAGGTGAATACTGGGTAGTGACAAAGATGGCAGGGTACATGGCAGAATAGTGTTCTTGTTGCACACCCTTGGACAAAACATGAGTCGTGTCCCCAGGCCTCAAAGTGACGTTGCTGTCAAGAAGAAGGCTCTGCAATTGGTGGGACAGAGGTTGATGGAATCTCTTCAAGACTCTGCTAGGCCTGGGTTCTGCTAGATCCACTTCCTCCTTTTATTCTGAGCTCCTTCACTTGTCACTTCACTTGTCCCTCACCCTGATGTGCCATCTACGACAACATCTTCTCCCATTACTTTCCCAGCCCTTACTGTGCTGCATTTAAAAACAACAAAAAATTATTTTCTCAGTACCTGAATTATATGGCTCGCTTGTGTGTTTTTATTTGTTTGTTGTCTGTCTCCCTGCACTACAATGTAAGGTCCATGAGGGCAGGCACTTTGTCTCTTGTAATCACTTCTGTTTTCCCAGTTTTGTAGACACTCACTTCCATCTTTTTTGTTGTTGTTGTTATTAAATGAATGGATAAATGGATAAATATCTTGGATTTCTCATGTGCAGAGCTAAAGCTCTTCTACTCTCTGTGTTTCAGAAAGGATTTGGACTAGACTCCTGGCCTCTGAAGTTTTTCCTAAATTTAGCTTAAAATGGCTTTTCTTATTATTAAATTTAATAATCTGTGTCTCCATGTTCACAACTAATGAGGAAATAGAAATCTTCAGTAACTGTGAAGTTAATTTTGAGTTACATTTGTAAATCTCTTAAGAAAACCCCCTGATATTCTCAGATATAGTCATGTATCATTTATTCAGCTCCCATAAATTTGTAATGGTATGGGCAGAAATTGGTCTGAAGTATATTTTCTCCATTATTTGAAGTAAGGTATTGCTGTTAACTGATAGTCTGAACAAGGTTCCAGGGGACTGCTTAACACTTAACAAAATAAATTTTTATCCAGGTTTTTGTAAGTATCCAGCAATACCAATATACCAGTGTTCCGATGGTTTAAATGGCTCATCTCTGTTGAGTAAAGCAGATCTAATAGACCCAAGAATTGAAATGTTAACTATGGACCTTGTTTGAACTTTTAAATGAGCAAACTTTGCAGAGAACAGGACATGAAATTTCTGTACTTCACTTTTGGCAGCAAACTTTAAGAAGGAATTAACAAAATTGATGCAAAGAAGGTCCCCTTGAAGTTTGAGACCAAGGTTGCACCTCTAAATTCCTCAGTTTCCTTGGCTTACTCATCTAGAACTTATGCCACCATTGTCAGGCAAACGATCTAGTTCGTAAGCCAGTCTTAACTAGGGCCAGGGGCATGTTAACATCTGGTTCTATCAGTAAAAAATAATTAAAATAATAACATTGACCATTTTCTGAACACTTACAACATGCCACACACTGAACTATGAACTGAAATAGTAGTTCCTTGAATTTTCTTGATAAAGCTCTCAAGTTAGGAATTCTATCACTTTACAAATGGGGAAACTGAGGCTCAAAGAGGTTCATTAATTTATGCCTCAAAAGTCCCACAGCTGGTAAGCAGCAAAAAGCCAGGATTTAGAACCAATGCATTTAACCCCCAAGTCCCTGTGCGTACCTTACCAAAGGTAAATGACCGTTGGTGCTATAAACTCTTCTTAGTGTGTGGAATAAACCCTGTGCATCCTGGTATCTTCCAAGATTTTTCCTTCTAACATTCTTGTGGCAGTTGCAGCCCGTAGGAATGGAGGTCTGCTTTGTTTTTTTTTTTTTGCCTAGCCCTCTAATTATTTCCAATAACATCCTTCTGGCCAGGCCCAATATATAACTGAGATTTGGCACATTTCCCTTTCCTATGGCAACTCCGAGGGACATATTCCACCTCAATGATGAGACCGCTTTCATTCTCATGCCTGTCAGTATCACATCAGAGCTTGCTCATTTCTTTAATATTGCACAATATAATCTTCTCCAGGCTCTGTAGACAACTTAGCTTTCCCTAGTCCCATCCTAATGGCTATGCCTGCTATCTCTTCTACCAAAGTTCCATCTTGTGTTGTGGTCTTGTGTTGTGTTGAGAAATGATAACATCCTTCCATACTTCAGCTCAAAGACTTGCTGTGGCAGAGGTTTTTCTGCCCATGTTATTATTTTTATTTCTC